ATATATGGCCACACACACATATACATATACATATACATATACCTATACCTATACATATACATATACAGACACATATACATATACATATACATATATACACATATACAACTATACATTTCTACATATATACATGCCATATACATATATACATATATGCATACATACATATATACATATATACATATCTACTTATATACACAGTATGCATATATACATTTATACATATACACATACACACATATATACAAATAGGCATATATACATATATACATATATGCATATGTAAAGATGTACATATATACATATAATACATAGACATGTGCACATATTTAGTGAAAATGAACATCACACAAACTCGGTTCAAGGGTAACTTTCCAACCTAAACTGCTCCGACCCGCACTAAACAGCAAGCACCCTGAACTCCGGACTCCGAATTCAGAGTTCAGAGTCCCGAGTCACCCTAAACACGGCAGCTTCCCGCGCTGGTCAATGAAGATGATGGTCTGGGCCTCAGGCAATGAGTCCTGGACTTGGTCTGCAAAACAGGGCACTCTGGACCGTGGTTTTGACAGGCCACACATTGAGATAGCCCCATGTTTCTTGCTCTGCATCATGTCCCCTCGCAGTAATTGGAACAGCGACAGCATGTCTGCAAGACTCCAATGTTATCTTGAAATACTAAAGAAGCTGCTCGAAGGCTCACGGTTCGATCTGGTCTCTTGGCTCGGGCCTCATGGTGTCGTTCTCTTCAACGAATCGGGCCAAGCTTCTCAGGCATTGTTTCAACTTGGCGAATTTTTTCCCAACTTCGTTTTGGCAGTTTCACATAGTCCTGAGGAGGTCTGGGCAATGGAAGGGGTGGTTTGTCATAGTGGCCTTCCAAGAATTTCTCCACATCTAGGAACTCCTGGGCAGCAAGGGGTGTACTCAGGACTCGGGTCCTCTTGAATCTTGTCATCAAGTGGCTGGTTTGGCATTCAGGCTCTTCTGGATGAATGTTTTTCCTTGTCTGGAAAGTTGGTGTGGGTTGCCATGAGGTCCGTAATAATCTCACTTTGCACCATCAGCTGCATTTGGAGGCATGAGCTCGTCATGTTGTTCCTGTCCTTGCTGCAGTTGGTGCTCCCACTCATTGGTCGCCTTCATTTCCACTTTTAACCCCTCAAACACTAACTAGAAGCATCTGTTGGTGTAGCCAATGTTTTTGCTGAGAAATTTGTACAATGGGACTGAGGAAACCTGTGTGGGTCAGGTAGCAAGCAGAATGACAAATATTGTTGACGCCCAGGTCTTGGTCTTGGAGTCGAGAGCAGGCGGGGTCCTGCTTGAGGCCTGTTATTTAGAATTAATAATTTCAGCAGGAACAGTAGGTGTTCGGTTGGAGCAGAGGGTTTATGTGATTTTGCTTAGGAAAACACAGATCGCAACCAGTTGCGATCTGTGTTTTCCTAGGAGCCATGCAGACAGTAATTTATGTTCCGTGTCTGGCTTGCTGCATGATGCTGTGGGGTGGGACATTCTTGGCCAAAAGAACAGAGGGCAACTGGTTGGGATCTGTGTTTTTTCACATTTCCGCAGGGACCCTTGGCTCACAGTGCAAAACCATCTTCACCATCCTCGTCCATGACCCACCTTGTTACTACAACACACAGGCCTCACAGGCTGACACACAGGTGTGCTTCGTTATGCGAGGGTCCCAGTGATACCTTCAATAACCTCCATGCAGTGGCTGGGTCTTAATTTTTGAAAGCAATCTTCGTCACCTTCGATGCCTTGGCGATGTGTTTCCGATGGCTGCACCCAGTCGACTTATCGACGAGACAAGATTTGCGCCATATGCAGGGCATCGAAACGTGGTAAGGACAACCAGAAGGTGAGCACAGTACGTTTGACAAGCAAGACCAAGGTCAAAGATCTGCCTGCAGGCAAATTCACCTTCGGCGAAGTCGTCACCATGCCAGCCTCACCACCGCCTTCAAAGGCCAATGCTGTTGCAAGCACGTCCTCGCCCTCAAAGGATGGGCCCTCCTCGCCTTCAAAAGCTGACACCATCACAGGACCTGCCTCACTAAAAGAGGTGTATAAGGTCTTGAACGACTTTCGTGATGGCCTCGCCCTCGAGTTCGAGGCACTGAAGGGCTTTATGAGCATCGGCGATCTTCACGGCACCATTGCCAGCGCACATGCACTACTAGATGCTGTGAAGGCGTCGAAAGAAAGTCATCCATACCTCCCCGCTTTCGACAGCTACACCCTCGTGGCCCTGGTGTTCTCCGGCATGAGTTTGTCCTCTCTTGTCTCCGACGTGGATAGGCTCAAAGGTGTGGTGATTGCCAGGAGGGGCTTGAACAAGAGGGCGGTCGTAGCTGCGGAGTGCAAGTGGATCAACTGCACTGGTTGCACAGCTGGTGGTGGCCTGTTGTCTTGACTTCCGAGTCCAGAGTCCAGAGTCCAGTGTGACTCATGTTGATGACCACATGATGTTTCACATTGGTCGTCTTTGTCAGGGCTTAGCTTTGTGTTCACAGACGGAGGAACGAAAAAAAGAACAGTGTCGGGCTTCATGTTGCCAGGCCCACAGAAGTAGGGTTAGACTGTTTCAAGAAGTCAATACCCGTGAACGCCCGTGAATGTCACATTAGGGTGATATTTCTTATACTCGGATTCTAGACGACCAGGCAAAATACAGGTCGCAACCAGTTGCGACCTGCATTTTGACAGCAAGAGCAGCAAACAGAGTCCAAGAATAAAACCCATGAGGCTTATCGTTGTCAAAAAAGTTAATACATTACTATTCCACACCCTCGGTTTGGGGTTGTTAGGTTTGAAACTCAACTCGTCTCCTCGCCCGGAACCCTTCTCTCCGCCCGGCACCAACCCCTGAGTGTCCCTAGACCCCCTTAAACCTAAACCCTAAACCTGTGTACCTTAAACCCTAAGCCCTAAATTCCAACGTGGAATACTGGAAAAATACAGATTGCAACCAGTTGCGTTCTGTGTTTTTCTAGTATTCCACGTTGAAATTTAACCCCAAACCCTAAATCCTAAATCCTAAACCCTAAACCCTTAAACTCTAAACCCTAAACCTTAAATTCCAACGTGGAACACTGGAAAAATACATAACACAACTGGTTGCAATGTGTGTTTTTCTAGTATTCCACGTTGGAATACACCCCTTAAGCCTAAAACCCTAAACCATTAAACCCTCAACCCGAAACCCTAAACCGTTTAAGCCTTAAATTCAAATGTGGAATATTGGAAAAAGACAGATTGCAACCAGTTGCAATCTGTGTTTTTCTAGTATTCCACATTGAAATTTAACCCTACACCCTAAATCCCAATTCCTAAACCCTAAACCCTAAACACTAGACTTTAAACCCTAAACCCTAAACCCTAAACCCTAAACCCTAAACCTTAAATTCCAACGTGGAATACTGGAAAAATACAGAACGCAACTGGTTGCAATCTGTGTTTTTCTAGTATTCCACTTTGGAATGGACACCCTTAAGCCAAAACCCTAAATCCTTTAAACCCTAAACCCTAAACCCCAACCCTAAACCCACGAGCTAAGACCCATGCCAGGACACTCCTTGATGTCGGCGACGTCGATCTCATGTCCGGGCCTGGGCACTTGTGTCTGGAAATGGGGGTGGGGTGTCTGGAATTGGGGGGGCGTCTGGAAAACCTAGGTTTTCCAGACGGGCTGCTTAGCACACGCACAACATTCTTTGAATCAGCGATGCAATTGGGGAGACATCCAGTCTAGGGCTTTTGCCCTGGCTATCACTTTTGATGTATGGGAACTCTGACCTCTGGGACTCGGATTCAGCCATGCCGTACTGCTGGTGCTTGTGTTCCGCGTCTTCAGTGATCTCTTCTTCTTCTTCTTCGGCTTCGTGACATTGCCCACTGAAGTCTTTGGAGCCCTGCCAGAGCTTGCCAGTCCCGGCTGCAACCACATTTTGGAATCGAATCTTCCCTTGTCCACAGCCGGGGTGATGTTGTTTCGGTGCGACTTCCACAATGTCACAATTTGTTTGCCCAAGGCTGGAGGAAAGGCACCACTTTTTTTCAGGATGCTCGAACGGCCAGTTCGTCTCTTCCTCCCACTGGAATCCACATACTGAATGGAACATGGTTCATGCCCACTCTGGCCACATGGGCAAGGCTTCCAACACTTCATAATCCATGAAGAGCTGCAAAGGAACTTGAACTTTTTGTAGATTCTTTTCCCAAAAGGCGTGCCTGTTTCAAAGGCACATCTCCACAGCACACATGTGTGCATCTGGTGTTCCCGAAGAAACTGGCACACGGGAGGAAAGAGGAACATTAGACTCCTTGCAGGGTTCTCCAGTGTCACATGCACACCACGTAGAAGAGCAAGGGTCATCAAAACGAGGGTGGCCTGAACCATGGCATTTCCATCTCGAACTCGAGGGTTTGATGTGTTGCCGTAGTAGGAGTTTTGGGGGGACCGCTGTGTCTGTGACAGACAAAGAAATGCCCAGGAAGAACACACAGGAGAGAAAGTTGCCAAACCCTTCTCACAAATCCTCATCAGTGCAATGACGGCATTTCGAAAACCGGCCTGGGTCAGAATGTCTGCTGATCCACACAGGCCCGTGTCTGTTCGGCCAGGTTCACGAAACTTGTCATATGCCAGGCTTGTGTGGCCCATCTCTCTCGCAGCAGTGACGATGCTGCCCACACCAGAAAAGAACTCGACAACTTCTAAGTCTCGCGGCACAGCTGCAAAATCAGAATCCTGCAGGATTCGTGCTGCAGTCCACCCAAATGCGACAGGTTGCATGGCATGTCACGAGGTACAGAAACTAAGTGGACTCAGAACTCTCAGAACTCTGTACTCGGGAAGAAACACCTCGGGAAGAAACACGACTGAAGTTTGTCAGTGCAATGGCAAGAGTCTGCAAGAAGCAATGACACCATGTGTGTCCATGCATGTGTTTGAGCAGACAGCAGGCATCTTTTTTGCTTGCAGGTTAGTGCCCTCTGAACCGAACGACCATTCGCCAGGATACATCAGGCAAGTTGGCATAGTAGGGGTTGTCCTGAAAACTGAAGTGTGCTGATGGGTCATTCTGATGTGACTTACACAGTGGACTAAGACACTTAGACTGGCAGCTGACAACTGAGGATCCATCCGAATCTGTAAGAGGCATCTGCCGCTCAGTTTCCACAGCCTCCAAGTATCCATCCTGAGAAGGCTCTTGGTTCCTCCCATCAGCCAAAATTCTCAGTTCTTGGGCTGCTCGGAACATGGAATGCTCAGGACCCCATTCTGCAGTCAGACACTCCAGTTCATCTGCAAACTGTCTCAGCTGTCTTTTCCTGTTCACAGACATAGCTTCACTGGCTGGGCATGTTGCTGTCGGTGCAAGGGTCGTGATTCTCTGAAATCTGGACTCTGGAATCAGCAAAACGGGAGGGCCATTTGGAGCTTGGCTAGCCATGAAAGTCTTCACAATGCAGAAAACATCGAAAGGGTGAGCACGCCAGCCTCTGTCAGTAGGATCTTGCTGCAAGAGCTGCTGTTCCTTAGGGGTGAGATCCATGCGGAGCTTGAAAGTGAAGGAATGGGGGGACATAATGCCTTGTCGTCGAACCCAGCAATTGTGTGGGTGCACAGACATCTCTGCCAGCCAGGCTTTGAAATGCCTGCAATGGGTCACCAGCTCCGCATTGACCTGACAACCCTTTGACGCCAAAATTGGTGTCATGCCAATAAGAATCTCATTTCTCAGGTCCTCTGGAATCTGGACTCGGGACTTGCGAAGTACTTTGGCAAGCAGAAGGCTGAAAATGAAGTCCACATCCTCGTGTGTGTGACCAACCTGGAGGAAGTGCAACACACACGAGTGAAATTTGAACCTGCGAACCAGCAATGCCAGGAAAGAAGCCACCTCCGAATTCTTGGCCTGTGCAGTCGTGTTATCACTTTGGATGACCAAATGTTCCGGCATTGCACGGCCCTGCTCCTGGCAAATCTTCTTAACCCGAGCCAAAGTCCTCGTCAAGATTTCACAGAAGAAGGAGGCGCCGTGGAAGAAGTTCTCGTCATCGGCAATGTAGAAGTCGGCGCAAAATCCATGAGCTATCGCCAGATGGATGGTGTTGCGCGGTCTGTGAAACTTGTCCAGGCTCTTGGGCTTCCTGAAATCATACTTCGGCCAGCTTCCCTTACTCTTGTCCATGCCATCAATAATGATGCAGAGGATATTTGAGTCAGGCATTTTGCTGTGCCATCGTAGATGCCAATAGATCAAACGATCCTCATATTGGTCACGGAGATGTTGCTGCCAAGCTTTTGCATTCTCTTTTTTCTCATGGACACTGACATTTCCATAATGAATGACACTGGCAAACTTCATGCACTGAGTGCATTGTGAATGCTGGGTTGGTTTGCGCAAGCCAATGCAGTGACACCATCCTTAGTCGTCGAAGCAAGTCACAGAAGCAAACAGTCTCAAACACAGAAAGACAAAGAAATTGATAAAGACAAGGCACGGTCATGCCACTTTTTCCAGAATGTGCTCCAGCAAGCACTCTGGGACTCTGGCATCCGCACTGTCCTCCATGCCAGGTAAAGCCTGTCCACAGCTTTCTTGTGCTGGACATACTTTTTTGGCATGCTGGCCCCTGAGGCAGCCTGGATGGCTGTCTGCAATTCTGACTTCTCAGGATCCCACCCCAGCAGTGTCAAATTTTGCTCAGGAGTCGGGAACTCTGTGACTCTGCCTAGCTGCAATTCTTCTTGTGCCACTGTCCAGTCCACATCTTCCAAATGACAAGCTGTGTCCTCTGGAAGGTACTCCGCTGCCGAATGGTACATCTCCAGGAAGAACTGGTCGACTGATGCACTGACTTCAGTCACGGCCCTTCCATTGTGGCTGCGACCATCAAAGGATTGTCCCTTCAGAAGCTTCATGTAGGTGCTGGGTGACATCTCTAGCATGGCATGCAGTCGTTTCTCACAGCATCGTTTCCCCAGGAAAAACCATTTGCAGCGAGTCTGGCCCTCTGTGCCATTTTGGGCTTGAGAATACACATTGCTCAGCAATGCAGCGCGCCTTGAAACACCCATGCCATCAAAAACTTTGCGGAAACATAGCACATCGTCGACAGACAAGCCAGGCTCACAAACAGTGCATTGTCCGGACTTGCCTCTGCCATACGGACACAGGCCATTCACAATCTTTGAGACGTGGTTTGCATTGCACTTGTGTCTGTCTGATGCAGATGCATCTGCATCACCAGCAGCCAATATTGCCATAGCCAGGGTAAGGTGAGCCTCTGGGCAAGCTGAGTGTTGCTCCTCATGGTGTTGCTTCCTTTCAACACCTTCAACACTGGGTGTTGTCCACACGGGGATCTTTTTCTCACTATGTAAATCCAGTCGCTGCCTTTTGTGAGCCACACTTCCAGTCTCCGAAGTCGGGACTCTGGACTCTGCAGAGGGTGCTCTTGAAGACCGGCTGCAAGAAGGTGTCAGCCAGCTTGGTTCTGTCGCACTTGTGCTCTCAGTTCGCTCCTCTTGAACTTGTACAGCTTGCCATGAATAGCTATGGCTAGCCAGGCTGGAAGGCCTGCCTGAAGGTGTCGGGGAAAGCCAACTGTGTGCCATGATTCCCTTGCAAGCCAAAAAACTGCTCGGGGATGTGTTGTTGTGCCTCAAGCAACCAAGTGTGCAAACAAGCAAGGAAGTCACATGTCAACAATGATCCAGGATCCATGACAGTGAGAAATGCAGTGACACATGTTTTCTCAGGCAGCAACAATCATCGATGGTGCCGAGAGATGTGCACAGCTACAGCTGAAAATCAGAACTCAGCACTCGGGACTCTCTGGACACTCAGAAGACGAAACTCGGGACTCTGTCTTTTGCAGACAGCCCCTTGCAAAACATGGAGTCTGTGCCAGCATCTCTCACTTGTGGATGGCTTCGAGCTCCTTGCTGACAACACCCTTCCAGAGCTGTGCAGCCTCCTTGATGGCTTCGCGAATTTCCACCTGTGACATTTTGCCCTTCTTCTGCTTGCTCTTCTTGTCGATGTGGATCTTCACGTGCTTCCAGTAGGTCTCCTGGTTGTTGGATTTTCCACTGGTGATCTTCTTTCCCGGGAACTTCTTCTGAAGCTCCTCCCTTGTCTCTTCAAAGAGGCGCCTCTTCATGAAGAAGGTGGCGGCTTTCTCTTCGCCTTTCGGTGGTGTCCGACCAGCAAATGTGTCCATCGTGCCACGTGGAGCTCTTTTCTTGCCACTTGCAGCCGGCTCACCACCAGTCACTCCATCCTCGGCATCCACAGTCACAGTGTCTGGATCTTGGTCCTCCGAGTTGGCAGTGTTCGCGACGGGCAGTGTCTGCTGCGCCTCGGCAGACTTGTTCGTCGTCGGAGTTTGAAGCTTTGGGTCCGGCTTCTGAGCTTTGGCGAGTGTCAGCTGGCTTTTCTTACTGGCCTCACTTGCCTTCTCAAGCTGCTGGCTGGCCAAGCTTGCGAGCTTGATGGAGGCTTCTGCAGCAGCTGCAGCCTTCTGTGCAGCCATAGATGCTGCAAGGGCTTGCTTCTGCAGCATGCCTTGGCCCGCCTTCCCTTCCTGTGTGGAGACTTTCGTCGGTGCTTCGCGTCCAAGGGTTGGAGTCTTCCAATCTTTCCAGGCACTGGTGTGAGCATCTGTCTTCCTTTTTTTCGCAAGCCCTTCACTGTCCGCAGAAGTACGGGGCAGAGCAGTGGGCTGAGCCAAGCTGACTGGAGCTGGGACTCTGCTACTCTGGGACTCAGTGATGGGCTTTGAACAAGCCTCATACCAGTCCGAGTTCTCAGAGCCATCTGACATGTTTCGGCCAAGAGCACGACCAGCAAATGCCATGTGCAACAATGGATCACAGGGCTCAGCAGAAGAAATGGCTGCATGGTGTGAGCATCTGCCAATGCATGTTGTGCAACAATGGATCACAGGGCTTCCGGAACAGCACTCAAGAATGACCTTTTTTTTGCATGGCAGCACGACGGTTGCTCGAAGCTAAGACTGTCAACACTGAATTCTGGGACTCTGGAATCCAGAATCGGAAACAGAGCTCCAGGCCAAAATGGTGTTGAGAGCCAAACTCATTGAGAGAGTGACCTGACTTCATGTGAGACGCACAAGGTGGTTGGCCTGGACTTGGATGGGCCCGGTGAGATAGATTCCTGGCTTTTCTGGGTTGCACATCAACCCCTGGTCGCCATCATTGAGCACCCACCTCTGAACCAGAGACACCAAGCCTTTGGACTGCACACCATCCTTCCAACCTCCTTCTGCAGAAAAGATTGCTACACTGCCCACATCGTCCCAGTCAGGGTGCGACCGCTTGTTGCCCAATTTGCGGGGTGTCGGGCTTGGAACGAAAATGCAAGCTTCGGACTGTTTCACTTCAAACACACGCTCCTTGGCGTCCCCAGCATCATCCTGTGCGCAGGGGCTATTTGGGGGTTCAGTTCAGGAAGCAAAACTCAGGCACAGTTTTTTCCATGACAACACAAAGCTCCTTGACAATCTTGGGGTTCAGAGAGTGACAAGCAAACTCTATGTTCTTCACATCCATGTTCTTGGCTTCCATTGCAAGCAGCCAGGATCGCAGTGTCTGGACTGGGGAACCCTCTGGTTTGTTGTCGGAGTTGTTGCGAACTCCAGCCATGATTGTGTCTGAAGAGAAGCCAATCTGCATGTTGCCCTTGTCCGTCTCCTTCGCCGCAGCAGTTGCCTCCTGTCAGAGTCACGGATCACAAAAAAGACTCCAAGACTCTGAGTCCCAGAAAAATCAGAAGAACCTGTCCTCGTTGACTTTGAACTTGCCATATGCCAATGCCAAAGGGAACTTTGAATCCAGCTCCACATCCTTCTTTGCGTGCACCCAGATGTGACCCTTGTTCGTGAAGATGACCGTGCAGTTGGCGTCCAGGCTGTCAATCTGGCAGATGGGACCCTCGGATGTTGTCAGAGCTTCCAGTGTCTGGGGACTCTCGGACTCTGGAGTCAGGACTCTGGCTTTTTTGCCTGGACTGGGATTGCTGTCACCCTCGCAACCACGCTTCTCGCCAGAGTTCACGTGTGGCTTGCCACTCTTGTTCCAGGCGTCATTGTGCTCCTGGACGAAAGTCATCCACTGCTTCTTGAGGTCCTCATCCTTGAGCTTGTCCTCGATGTCGTTGAGAAAGGTTTCTCGCAAGGGCAGGTTCTGTGCAGCACCAGGGAAAAGAGCCACGAAGTCTTTCTCCACGAGAACAGGAGGGTCACGTGTGTCCTTCCACGGGCTCAGGGGCACCCAGTCCTTGATTGAGATGACCTTCTCCTGTGCCAAGCTCTGCAGTTTTCGTCGAATTGCAGACTGCAACCACTTCGCAATCTTGGCATTCTGGACTCTGGGATCCACAGCAGTGCCTTTTTCCTTGTGTGCACAGTCCCGGCTGTTGCAGTCTGCCCACACAATGCCCACGTAAATGGTCTGGGGAGCAGGAAGTGAAGGGCTTGCACGTCGGCGCATCAGAGCTTCGGGCAGTGAGTGGTCATAGGCAAACACATCGATCCAAGCGGCACCTGCATTGTCTGGGGCCCTCATGCCTTGCCACAATGCATCATGGAAGGCTGCGGGCACTGGGTAGCCAGCAATCCACTGCTTTCTCCGAGCAGGCTTGTTGGATGTGTCTGATGTTGCCATTGATGAGGAGAATCCCCGACGAGGGTCAACCATGGACTTGATGGCCAACATGGGCACTGGGGTCACCGTGTTCTTGATAACTATTGGCAGCATCTGCCTTTTCCACAAACTGCTCTGTGCAAAGTGGCTGAAAAGTTGCCCTTCTTTGTTGGACAAATCTGAGATTGCCACGAAGAACTTGTGGAAGCCAGGCCGCTGAGATTGTGGAGGAATGGAATTTTGATCAAATGCCAGAAGACACTCTCGGACAATGAGTCGATGCTCTGGTACATTGAGAAATGCTTTGATCTTCTCTGTGGCTTCGAGAACACTGGACTCTGTGTACTCCTGAGATGCATAAAGTCTACCAGAAAGAATGTAAAACAAGGCAATTTGTGGATTATGATTGCACGCCGAAGCTCATTCCCCCGACCCCCACACGTCGGAGCAGCCACAATGATAATGCTTTTGTGGGGGTCCTCTGCCACAGCTGTTGCCACTGATGCGACAGCAATCTCACAACCTCGAACTGCGTCGTACCCGAGCACAGTGGGGTTCATCCAAAAGACACGGTACATGCTGTCATCCGGGATTCTGTGCTCATCCTTGAACTTTTGCAGGGACGCCTCAGCAAAAGTCATTCCATGTGGAAGCTCCAGAACTTCCCGAATGGGATAGAGCTCGTCCTGGCAATTCTCCACGGCCTTTCGCTGTCTGTCTTTCTCCTTGTCAGCGATCTCCGCCTGAATTGTCACTCCAGTTCGTTGAAACTCATCTTTTTTCTCCTGGTAAGAGTTCCACTGCATGACCTCCTTTTTCACTTTCGCAGTTGCCTTTGCGAACTCTGCCTTCTGCAACTGCAGGTCAGCCTCGGACTCGGAATTCTGGGACTGCGAGACTGAGGCCAGCACCTGAGCAAAGATTAGGCAGCTGTCCCAGTCACTCCATGGTTCTAGCATTGGGTCTCTCCTACAACATGATGGTCGTGTCCTGCCTTGACACCAACATCTGCCAAAAAGCGGAAGTTTTGCACTTGCAATTTGGGGGTCATGACTCGGAACTTCTCCAGAAGCTCCGCATCGAGGTAGCCCCGAGCAAACTTGACCTGCAATGTTTCCAGCTGCGTCGGGGTGACCAGCTTCTGCATTTCGGGCAAGAAGTGTGCAAAAATCGCGGAAATTCCCCAGGCTGACTCCGGATCCTTCTGGTCACGCAAAGCAGAGGCACCAGTGGTCAAGTTGATCTTCTTTCTCAGTCGTCTTGCATCTTGTAGCTTGAAGAGAAACATCTGCACTTTCCTGCGGATGTACCAATGCCTCTTGCGATTGTCGGCCTGCAGGATGCTTTGCCAGAGATCCGACTTCACTCCAGTCTTCAACTTTGCACCTGAGAAAGCATAACTTGATTTCTGCTGAAAAGACATGAATCTTAACAAAATGTGTTCTGAAGAATGACACAATCAAAATACCGGCCTGCGAAGAAAACATCGACGGCTACGGCCTTGTAGGGAATGGCAGATCTCTGTGGCGGGTACAGCTGCCAGTGGTAATCGATGAGTTCTTGTGTGTCTTTGCTCAAGGTGGGATAGATTGTCACCAAACTGGCTTCCATTTCGGAAAGCCTCTTTGCTTCGTTCGATGACCCTCCATTGAACTCTTGAATCATTGCAGAAGCACACTCGGTCCACACAAGACCCTCATCCTTTGCTTGTGCCATGAGCAATGTGGATACTTGAATGGGATCTGGCCTTGGCCTTGCAGCTTCAGCAAATTTGTCCTGGAGCGCGCGGAATCTATCGAACTTGGCATTCCCTGTCGTGTGCACTGTCGCCCTGAAGCCGAACAACGCCTGCAATTGTGTCTGAATCGACTGAAGTTCTGTATCAGTCAAGGCAGCTTCAGAACATGCCAGCAAAATAGCTTTCATCGCCAGACTCTTTGTGAAGCCAATGCAATGACCTAGGCTGAAGTCTGGCAAGAGCTCACCTGCTGCGGGCATAGTAGGTGGGATCCAAAGCTGGATGGGGTTGTTCATACTGTCGTACGATTTCTCCAAGAAATCTGTGGCACAACGAAGGACATTCACCATCTTGCTCTTGCCTTTCTGTGAGTGTTGTGGAAGGAAGCTCAAATGCCAAGGCATGAGGACAAGCTCCTGTGTCACATCTGCTTCTACCATCGGCACCCGGTCTTCAGCCTGTCGTGCTTTGAAGATCCAGGATGGGTCGATAGTGTGTAGTCGCCTCTGAACTGTCAGGAAGACATTCTTCAAGGCAGTCGGATCGGTGCCAAAATGTTCTTGCAAGTAGTCACCTCGTTGCTTCTTCGAGTCTCAGAAGTATAAAAGGCCACGGGGGCAGGGTCAAGAGGGACACAAGAAGGGCACACAATGGACTAGATGATGAATTACTGAGGATAGCACAGATCTCCACGGCATCAGGTTGCTCTGGGTCACCGGAGCCACCAAATGTATCCTCTAGCCAAGACTGTAGCTTGGCAATGCTCTGTTTCGCTTCCTTCGAGAGCATGGGTAGGTAGGCACTCTGGGACTCGGGACTTCAGGACTCGAGTCACAAAGAACTGCAGCATGCAAGTGCATGGTTTGGTGAATCTGAAGACTGCAACGATAACTTGCCAAAACTCGATCAGGCTTCTTAGCTGAGGCAGAGGCCAATCGTAGCAATCACCCTGATCGTCTCAGTTCCTGTGCAATTGAATGGGTCTGACTCAAACTTCGACCCAAAAAATGCTTAGAAAAAAACCCTGAATGCTCAAGTCAGCCCCCGCAGAGTACAGAGTACAAGGGCCAGAGTCCAGATTAGAAGGCCTCACACCACTGTGGCTTCAGAGGGCCACAGGCTGAAAGCTACTGGGCTTGAAGCTAGTGGTCTGGAGCTGCCTACAGTCTTGAAGGTAAAGAACCCAAAACAGGAAAACTTAAAACTTAAAACCTTTCCGTCCGGAGCCCCCGGAGTAGCTAGAGGCCGGAAGGAAAACCGAAAGCTTAAATTGAAAAAAAAATTCTGTCCGGAGCCCCCCCGGTTTTAAAAAGTTAGTGGCTCCCCGAATCTTAGTGCCAAGAGTTGGGCTTCGCCGGCGGACCCCCGAGACTTGGCACTAGCCAGGGTGGCCAGTGCCTTTTGTCACATCTTCCAAGTATGAAGCTGCCAAGTCTCAGGCCCCGTCGGCCGAGGCCTGAGACTTGGCAGCTTCATACTTGGAAGATGTGACAAAAGGCACTGGCCACCCTGGCTAGTGCCAAGTCTCGGGGGTCCGCCGGCGAAGCCCAACTCTTGGCACTAAGATTCGGGGAGCCACTAACTTTTTAAAACCGGGGGGGCTTCGGACCGAATTTTTTTTCTAAATTTAAGCTTTCGGTTTTCCTTCCGGCCTCTAGCTACTCTGATAACTCAACTCACAGACATGGGGAAGGCACATGACAGACTCACAGGTGACAGGTGTTGAGGTGGCTTAAGGTGGCTCATGCTGGCCTGTCACTGGGATGGAGGGGCACAGACAGAGTGACTTCAAGTGAGCCTCAGCCTCACTGATGTGGGGTAAGTGACTTGCAATGACAGTGAGTGCCCTTAAGACCCCTCAAATTATCTGACTCACTTCAGGCACCTAGTAGATGAAGCACTGTGATTCTCCATGGCTTGACAACAATGAGAAACACACAGAAGAAGCACCCTGCCCGACCCTCATCATTGCTTAAGCACTAGGAGAAGCACTCGGACTCGCACTACCTGACACAAGACAAAACAACGGCCCGGCTTCAGGAACTTTGACATGGTACTCAAGCAGCAGCGCTCTGTCCGAGTCTGACACTAATGTTACTTAAGCACCAGATGATGTCCTGGGCACACATATTGCTTGAACAGCACACAAGAAACACCCCCACAGTCTTTTTGCTTAAGCGCCAGAGAAACAACCTGTCATCCTGCTTAGGCAGCAGTTGAAACACCCCGACACGGAATGTAGCTTAAGTGCCCGACAAAAACCTACGGTTACACTCGCAACCAGAAGAAGCACCCAGATTTGCTGAAACAGCAGAAGAAGCAACCTAGTCCCATCTGCCCTTACTGACACAAAAAGGGCCTGACACTCCAGTGCTTCAGCGCCAGAAGAAACAGCCCGACACTACTCTTGCTTAAACACCAGACCAGAAGAAGCACCCTGACAGTCCATGTACTCAGTTGTACCACCGGAAGCACTCAGTGCAAGAAGTGGCCTCGGAACCGACTCTGTGCTAAAACGCCAGAAGTAGCAGTGACCCAACATTCACTACAGCTGGCTCCCCGGCATCGTTTGCCTAAGCACCAGAAGAAGTGCCCGGGCACACATGAATGATAGTTTCATGTGCCACAAGAATCATGTCGACACATGTGCTGAAGGGCCAGAAGGAGCACCGCTCCATTGAGTCAGAGCCAATGAACAGAAGAAACACCCCGAAAACTCATCGGGTTGCTGAAACAGCAGAAGGACGAGAAACTACCTGACACTCCAGAAGAAGCATTGGGACACATCGATTGTCAAATGGACCAGCACAAGAAGAAACCCGAGACACAACTTGCTTAAATACTACATTAGATATTACAGTCATTAAAAAATTGCTTTGGCACGACAAGCAAGAAGCACACTGACCCTCTGCTCTAGCAGTGCAAGATTACCCAGACACTCATTTGCCTAAGTGAGGGCCCACAAAGAAGCAGCCTGACTACCATTTGCTGCAGCACGACATGGAAGCACCCCGACTGTCATTTGCTACAGCAGTAGTTGAATTTGCATCAGTGCACCACAGCAAGCTTAATTAAGGAGCCTCACAAGAAAAAACATCAAGGCACTTGGTCCACTTTGCATGGATCACCAGGTTTTTCGCAGTGATTGCTCTTAAAGCTTGGAGGGTGCCAGCCTTGAAGAAGAACACCATCGGCAAGGATGCAGCTGTCACCTTGTCACAGCAGGCAGACATATGGTGACACCAGAGTTGCGACATGTAACTCAGAACTCTGACCAGAATCACAGAGTCCAGAGAACAGTCCAGTGCACAGACCCCAGGAGTGCAGAGAAATGCAGTGCCTTCTGTTCGGAGACTCTGCGTCAGTGTTGAAAAGATTACAAAGTTACGAAGTTACTTGCAAAGTGACATGCTCTGAGGTCCATGCCTTCTGGCACTCGGAACTCTGGACTCTGACAAGTGAGTGCTTGTCAAAGTCCAGCAACAGACTTGTGCCCAAGAGCCTGAATCAGAGTTAGAAATTCATCCAGTTGACAGTTCTGTTCACCACTCTCATGCACTTTCGGGGCGACTTTGGGGGGAGCCAGTGGATTTACATGTCACATGTCACAACCACATTTATGTTCTGTTCTGCTCCTGACATGGACGGCTCTGCAATGTCAGAAACCATGCATGCACCCATTGTTCTGCTTTTGCCAATATCTAACCTTGGATCCAGGACATTAGGAGACATGCCCTAACAGTACTGGCAACACACTTGCTTGACAAAACATGACAGCCTACTCTTACTACCAGTCTGCCACTGCACGACAAAAAACTCTCCGCCTACTACCAACAGCACCCTAGGAAATCTTCAGGTCAGAAAAGAAAACCCGACCCAGGCAAAACCGTCAAGCTGGAAGACCTCGAACGGCAAGTGTGACATGCACACAATGATCCAGCCTGCTCGTGTCAAGAGACTCCTCATGGCCTGTCAGGTTTCAAGGCAGGTCCGATGCTTCTGGGATTCAAGTGTGCACATGGTTCAGGAGCTGCTGAGCTTGTGGAAGAAACACAGTTTTTCCACGAGCAGTCAGGTCAAAGTAAAGTCAAGGAAAAGTGAGCCCACGTGTCTGGGACTCTGGAATCAGGACTCAGTCGTCTGAGCCCGCCTGTCTTTGACTGCCACGGGGTCGTTGATTCCATATCACCTTCTTTACTTTCGAAATGGCAACATGTGCAATCTCCTGCTGGCCTGTCATCCTAAGGGCATATTCACTGGATTTCGCTGCATGATGAGTGTACCTTTGGCTGTATTCCTGAGCACGTGCACTTGCAGCAGCTGCCAGAGTCAATTTTGCAATAATGTAATTGTGATCCGGTTCACTTGTTGACGGTGACGAATCGCGCTTCCCCGTCCTGATCCTGGATGACCTTGACCGTGCTGGTCCTTTTGATCTCGTCGATCTCTTTGATCTCTTTGAGGTCCTTGACAATCTCTGAGAGGTACTCTTCGATCTCTTCGACGCCGACCTCTTCGATCTCGACCTGTGAGATCTTGATCTTGTCCGCCTATTTGATCTGGACCTTTTCGCATCACTTGATCCACTGCTCATTGCCTTTTCTGTGGGAGTCAGTTCTCCGGACTCAGGGACTGCATCGGACTGAGCTTGGGGAACTGCAGCAGGAAGCTCGGCCGCGTCATGACTCTGGGTGGCCTGCAGTGCACACTCGGAGAGGAATGCTGGTGGGGGATAGAAGTCAAAGAAGTGCAGCAAGGAATGTCAGTAACAGTTCACTAATAAACACAGCCCGCCCCCCCCCCCCCCCCCCCCCAACAGCAACAGCAAAGACAGAAACAGCCGGGCAAAGAAGTGGTGCCTCTGACTCTGCAGCTTCTTGCTTCTCGGGAGGGGTCGGTTGAAGCAGACGTGGTGGCACAACCTTTGGCACTGGTCCAACCTTTGGAAGTAGTCCTGGCGGCAGAACCTTTGGCACAGTCGGACGAACAGGAACATGTGTGGGCAAAGGTATAGTGCCAGCTGCCTTGCTGTTGGAAGGTGGACAGAAATAGCAACATATTATGTGCATCTGAACAAAGGGTTTAACGTTTTTTAGCACAATTTTCATTTCCTAAATCAGTCGGCAAGGATGTGGAAAAAAGACCAGTAACTCCAACTGCAGCTTCAGGTACTTTGCACTGCACACCAGCCTCCTCAAGCTTGGAGCTCCGAGCTGGCTCCCCAGATGCCTTTGGTGGCTGCAGCTGCCCAGGAGGGACTGCTTGTAGTTCTTCCTCCGCAAGCCTAGCTGCTTCTGTTTCTGCAGCTAAAGCTGTCAAAGCAGCTCTGTCTGCAGCTTGCATTCGTCCAACAGGCAACATGGCTGAAGAGCAACAATTACTCCGGACTCGGTAATCAGGACTAGTCAGGACTCTGTCTTCAGATGAAAATAAAACCTAGGATTGTCATTGTGTGTGTGTGTTGTGTGTCTGAATCCTTCTATGTGCTTGCCTGGCTCAAGTTCCAGAGTACTGACCCAGATTTCCGAGTTCCAGAGTTTCTGAGTTTCCCATCTGCATGGCCAGCAAGCCAGCTGCGAACAAGAAGAAAAAGCTGACAGCATCAAAACATTCCAAGCAGACAAGACAAGACAATAACATTGTGGAGTCGAAGAAGAAGGCTGCAGTCTACTCCCGCACATCATCGAAAACAAACATCAGTGGTGACAGCACAGGCAGGCAGATGCGGGCGGGCCTTGCTGCAGCGAAGAGTTCCGGTTGCACCCCCGTCAGCCTCAAGCGTGTCAGTGAATGCATTTCAGGGATGTTGCCTCTGCCACAGCGGAAAAAACTTCATGCACTCTTGGATGGATCCTACAGCCATGTCTATGTGGAGAGCCTGAGGGCTTTGGGTCGCAAGGCCAGTGGCATCGAAGAGGTTTATGAGGCAGCCAAGAAAACAAAGACCAACGTTGTGGTGGCCGACCTGCCTTGTGTCTTCAGCTTGTCTGCAACACCAGCAGAAGCCTTCCAGAGACGAGTGATGGCAGCTGTTCAGGAGTTTGAACGTGATGTTATTGTCAACCGTCTACAAGAAGGCTTAGAAGCGAAAGCCAAGAAGTTGAAGAGTCAGGGCAAAGATGAGAAGGTCAACGGGCGCAAGAGCTACTTGGACAAGTTCTTGAAGAAAGAAGGTGAAAACAAAACCATGAAGATGAAGGCACTGAAAGCACTTTGCATGGATCGCCAGAAAGGCAAATTTGGCTTCCGAGAACTTGCTGTTAAAGCTTCGAAGGTGCTGGCCTTGAAGAAAAGCACCATCGGCAAGGATGCAGCTGTCACCTTGTCACAGCAGCTAGGCATACACTGACAGCATCCAGAACTCTCATGTGTCACTCATTTGGCTAATGACGTAGGTTCCCAGAATCACAGAGTCCAGGATTCATTCCAGAGTGCACACCCGAGAACTGCAAAAAAAGCCTCTCCGTCAGGGTCTTCTGTGCCAAGAACACATGACAGCATTGAAGCTCTACAAGTTACTTGCAAAGTCACATGCTCTCAGGTCCACACCCAGTACTCCGGACTCCGGACTCTGGACTCTGGATGCACTTGTCCAGGCACGGAGTAGCACCCGAACGGGCCTGAAACAGAGTTAGAGATTCCTTGGGTTCAGAGTCTGTGCAATGCACAATATGGGAGGCACTTATAAGGTTGGGTGTCTCAGTGGCTTTGGATTTTCACATGCTGTGGCCACGTGTAAAGGTCTCGGTCCTGCTTCGCACATTAACCAGCTCTAGTGTATCGCGAATCATGCTACGATCTCAAGAATGCATGATCCGATTCTAACATATCCGCAACGATACTTTCGCTCCAAGACCACGGTCGCAACATTCTTAGACACGTCGGCCCTGGCATGATAGAGAGGCTACTCTGCCATTCCATGGATGTTGGCACGGTGCGAAATTCTCAGTGCACTAATCTCCCTAGCAAGCACCATCCTGCTGTCGTACGTCACCAGTTTGCTGCAACCAAGTCTAGTCCAAGTCTTTGCGTAATAGCCGCCGTTTGTTCAAGCTCCGGCAGGCTGTCGCGGCGGAGCCTCAGACGAGTGTGTGTCCTGTCATGTACTCCTAAGAAGACTAGAATGGCTATGGGAATACACATTTCTTAGTCTATACGGCATCTTGAACTGAGTAGCTTCCGATTCCGGGTCAGAAATGTATGCCAAGCAGGGTGACACGGAACGGGAGCAAGTGGAACAAAGTCGCCTAGCCCTCACACAACTTGCCAACACCAACCCACAGATGAATGAAAACCAGATGCCATGAATGCAAGGAAGAAAAGTTTGACCCCTTGCCCTGCACACCCAAGACTCTGCACACTGTTAAACTTTGCCCCTACCCAGATCTTTCTGGCTTTTGGAAGAACCCTGGACGCCTGGCTTTCGCAGCCTAGCTATTGTTCCAAATTTTTTCAAAACCTCGACCCCTAAACCCTAAGGCCAAAATTTACAACCCTAAGTTTAAACCCGGGCCAGAAGGAAAGGGATCAATGGGGAAGAATTCACCTAAGGCCGAAATTAAAAAAACTCAAACTTTAAACCCGGGCCAGAAGGAAAGGGATCAATTTGGAAGAATCACCGTGGGCTTCAGCTTTTTGTCCTAAACCCTAAACTCCAAACATCCCCTAAACTCCAAACACTAAACCCTAAATCCTCAACCCTAAACCCCATACTAAACCCTCAACCCTAAAACCCTTAACCCTAAACCTGAACCCTCAACCCTAAACCCCAACCCCTAAACCCTGAACCCTTAAACCCCAAAGCCAATTCCCAAAAGCCTAGCCTAACAAACCCTGAACCCTCAACCCTAATACTAAGGTCTTTAAAACCGTTATTGTGGGTTTTAAGGGTTGAAATGGTTTAAAGGGTTTACAGATGTGGCTTAGTGAGAGTAATATTAATAAGCCACATCTGTAAACCCTTTAAACCATTTAAACCCTTGAAGCCCAAGCCTAAAACCCTAAAGCAAGCGTGTGAGCAGCCTGGCTGCTGTGCTTCACCCACACTGCAAGAGGTTTCGACCTGCACCGATGGGTGTTCAGAGGGGCTCAGGGAATGTTCCCGAATGAGGCAACATGGACAGAAACTGTAAACAAAGTCTAACACATTACTTGGCTGCTGGTCCTGGCCTCTGTCTGAGAATGAGAAAAACTAAGTGAAAGAACTCCTCAAGCAAACAGCTGGGCGGCCTGGTTGCTCTCCTCGACCAAGGCGTATCGACCTTAACAGCTGGGTGTTGACACTGAGACAGGGGAGGGGCTCAGGCATTCTTCAGGTAACATGCAGGATGGACAGAATCAGAAACAAGTCTTTTGCTGCCAGCATGAGGAAGTGTGTCTTTTTGTGCTCTTAGAAGAGTCGCCACTAGGGAGCCACACAGTGTGGCAGGCGACAAGAACAGAAAGTCCCGGCGGCCAGCAAGAGTCCAGACCATGTCCGTGAGCCCACTAGGTAAACATATGGTTTCTGACAAAATGCTTCTGCTTCACTCTTAGGAAGACCAGAGATGTGCAAAATCTGAACTCTGGACTCTGGACTCTGGACTCTGGACTCTGAACTCATGTGTGGCAAAATGGGACAGTATGATACACGTAACAACGCAGACAGGTGGATCCGGACCTTGCTGTCATTTCCGCACCTCCACCTTGTTGCAAGGGCTGACTGAGGGCTCTGTACTCAGTACTCCTGGTCCTCGTCGTAATCCTCATCCTCCCCGTCCTGAAGCTGCCGGAGGAAGTCGTGGATCCAGTCCGTGTATGTGTTGTGCTGCCAGGATCCTGTGCTTGGGGCCGCCGTCAGCCAGACGTTGTCGGAGTAACTCCAGAACCTGACCGGCGAGTCGGGGCCGTACTGGTGGAACTCGAAGGACTGGCCGTCTTCGACATGGTAGAAGGTGATCGGCCCATTGTACGCCTCCTGCCACACCCAGCCAGCTGCACAAATCTGGAAGGGCCTGTCGCCATTGACCACCCACCCTGGCCTGCCACGGCGTGCCTCAAAGTTCTGGCCTGCCGGCGACCGGGTCACGAGGCTGCGCTTGATCTCCTCTGTGACGTTGTCCATGGCAAAGAGATGCAGGACATTGGGCTGGCGAGGGCGACACCGCGAGTGGATGTTCTGCGGGAACTCACGGAGCTCCAGGAACAACGCCTTCATGACCCCTGCTTCCTCCGTGTAGATGCCAGAGTGGTACTGGAACTTTCCAATGCCATTCAACCCCGGGGCCTCCGCAGGCATGACATGCGCGACCTGGAAAGTCGCCACACCTGGGACATCCGCTCGCCTGAGCCAATCCAGCTGGATTTCGCCTGGTGGGACAAGGGACCTGTAGTGTCATGTGTTCGGGCGAAGCAAACAAAAGGCAATAACATCATGCTGTAAATTGAAAAAAAAACAAAAGGATATACTTTCAGCACAACCCACTACTTCTTAAGCCATGACTCATCGAATACAGGAAGTGGCTCCTGCCCTGCATGAAGTAGCTGCGGCGGGGCTCGCCGTCGAAGAAGAAGCTGTCCTGCCCATTGGGAGGGGCACCACTCAGGTGCAGAAACGCCGACCGATTTGTGTACTTCTCCTGCACAAGCTTGAGGGTGATGCCCTCCGGCAGGTCCCTGACATAGACTCCATCTGGCCAGTGCGCGTCGAGCAAGGTCTTGTTTATGGCCGCTGGCGATCGCTCTGGCAGCCTCATCTGTCTCGGGAGGACGAGGCCTTGCACTCTCCAAAGACCTGCCTGGATAAAGAGGTCCTTCACACCAGTGCAGATGTCGTGGGCATGCTGGAAGAAGGGGTACCTTGTTGGCTTTCTTACACTTGTCATGTCTCTGCTCACACTCAATCAGCAATAAGTATGGTTTCCAGGATTTCATTTAGGGACTTGACTTCGGCTTCGTGCTGTATTGAAGGAAAATCGGAATCTGAAGTGGCAACAATGACAGTCGCTTGTCTACCAATTTCGCAGAACACCCACAAATTTTCCTACATTGTTCAGAGCCTCTACTTAAACCTTCCACAGGGTTTGTGGGCTTGTATTTGGGGTAGTGTGTGGTCTGCTTCTACTGCCCCTACGCCCTAAACCCTAAACTATATGGGTTGGGATTCTAACATTTCAGAGAGACAGGATGCTCATTGTACGTCTTCCCCGGCAGACGTGCCATGAGGAATGGGGAGATGTTCTCCCCGTAGACGTGATAGTAGAGCTCATGTCCCTGCATCTTCGCCCATCCAAGCATCGGGCCATGTGGAACCACACCATTCATCATGTGCTGGTACCACACTTCGATGACCCTCAAGTCGTACTGCGACTGCGCCGGCAGTGTGTTGAGGGTCCCCTCGCGGTGGAGCGACTCAAACTGCTTCTTGAGCTCTTCGAGAAGGGGCTTGAGGGAGGTCTCGATGCCTGTTGGCGGCCAGAGTGTGGCTGGATCGTAGCCCATCAGCTTCGCTTGAAAAAAGATTTTGACATAGGCCAAATCTTTGGTGGGATCGCCTTTCTGGTTCCACCCTGGGAGCACACCACCTCCCTGAAGGGCCTTTTCGACTTGACTGCTGCTCATGGATGTGATGTCCACCTCATCCTCTCCAGCCGCATCGATCCGAGGCTGGGGGGATGCCACAGCAGCCACCTGGACCATGGCTGCTCGCTTCGTCTGAAGAGCCATGAGGTCAGGACTCAGGGACTCGGGGACTCTGGACTCCTGAGTCTCCTGCTTCTCGGTCTCGCCATGGTCATGCTCGGTCGGACTCAGGGACTCGGGGACTCTGGAGTCCTGAGTCTCCTGCTTCTCGGTCTCGACCTTGTTCTCCGTGGACTCCTCAATGATCGTCTTTGACTGATATCCTGTCCCTTTCACTTTGAGCACCACTGACCTGGTGCCAGTGTCCCCTTCCTGTGGCTTCAAGGCAGGCTCAGTCTCCTGCTCAGTCTTCATGGGCTCCGTTGAAGTCTGAGAAGAGGAGGCTGCCCCTGGCTGGGACCCTGTGCTTCCGGACTGAGGGGCTTTGCCTTGCCGCAGAGAGTGTACTGGCGTCAGCAGCACCTCCAAAGGGCCTCCAGCTGCGTCGAAGACAAGACGGATGACCTTTCCTGAGTTAACCGGCACTTCTGTCACGGCCAGGACCTCCTTGTGGTTGGGGGAGCCACACAGAGCAAACTTCACCAGTCCACCTCAGGGGCAGTCACAAGACCCTGAAAACAAAACATGCACTGTTAAGTATAATTACAGTTCTTCTCTGTTGATGAATACCTACGACTCCTGCCTGTCAGTGACCATGGCAGATCAACTGTATCAGGACGGCACTGATCACCCTTCATGATGCCGATTGCGTGCCACGCCCCTTCCATGTTCACAACCAGCAATGCTTCTGCCCGCTGATACGAGGTCGTCGTGCTGCCATGCTGCAAGGCCACAACATACTTGGACGTCGGATTCCCCATCTGTCAAACGCTACAGCACTCCGGGACTCAAGGACTCAGGGCTCAGGAGGCTGCAGGCCAAAATGCTACGAGGTTCTGCACTGCGAAACTGCATGGCAATCGAAAATGCACACTGCTGCTGAAAAACCCTGTGCACTGCTGCTGAAAAAACCCTGACCCTGTGTCTGGAAAACCTAGGTTTTCCAGACGCCCCCCCCAATTCCAGACACCCCACCCCCATTTCCAGACAGAAGTGCCCAGGCCCGGACATGAGATCGACATCGCCGACATCGAGGCGTCGATCCATGGGCCTTAGCTCGGTCATTGGTGTCAGGTCCATTCCAATGTGGAATACTAGAAAAATACAGAATGCAACCGGTTGCGTTCTGTATTTTTCTAGTATTCCACATTGGAATTTAGGGTTTAGGGTTTAAAGGTTTAGGGTTTAAAGGTTTAGGGTTTAAAGGTTTAGGGTTTAAAGGTTTAGGGTTTGGGTTTAAGGGGATCCATTCCAACGTGGAATACTAGGGAAATACAGATTGCAACCAGTTGCGTTCTGTATTTTTCTAGTATTCCAGGTTGAAATTTAAACCTAAACCCTAAAGGAAACCCGAAACCCTGCACCCTAAACCCCAAACCCCAAACCCTAAACCCTGTATTCCAATGTGGAATACTAGAAAAATACAGAATGCAACTGGTTGCAATCTGTATTTTGCTAGTATTCCATATTGGAATGGACCCCCTTAAACCTAAACCCGAAACCTTTGAACCCTAAACCCTAAACCCTAAACCCTAAACCCTAATTTCCAACGTGGAATACTAGAAAAATACAGAACGCAACCGGGTGCGTTCTGTATTTTTCCAGTATTCCACGTTGGAATGGACACACAAATCCAAAAGGTTGAAGTCGCCAAGGATGCGACATTGCGGTGTCCAGCCCAGCCCAGACCTGAGTCGGTGCATAAGTGTGGGTGTGCCCAGACATTGCATGCTGCTCGAACTGGTTCCACAGGTGGCTCACAGTTGTGGAAACAAACACCGTTAAATTCAATATCGTTGCACATGGGTATACACAGCCTAGTCGTGCAAAACATACCATTGGACCATGTGTGACATCAGACTCCAGAGTCCAGAGTTCATGAGTGTCCAGAGTTTTGTCTGGAAAGCCATGATGCTGCCGCCAGGACTCCACCCGCCCCGAGCTTCTTCCAAGGTGTCCAGGCCCATAGAAGCAGACTGTTTCAAGAAGTCAATACCCATGAAGGTCTCAGTGGGGTGGATTCCGCCCCCACCCCCAGTGGCAGCAACAACATTGGCTACACCAACAGATGCTTCTAGTTGGCACTCCCTACTACAGGGGTTGGAAGTGGAAATGAAGGCGAGCAATGAGTTGGAGCACAAACTGCAGCAAGGACAGGAACAGCATGACGAGCTCATGCCCCCAAACTTGAAGCTGATGGTGCAAGATGAGATTGTGGACCTCATGGCAACCCACACCAACTTTCCAGACAAGGAAAACATTCATCCAGAAGAGCCTGAATGCCAAACCAGCCACTTGATGACAAGATTCAAGAGGACCCGAGTCCTGAGTACACTCCTTCGTACCCAGGAGTTCCTAGATGTGGAGAAATTCTTGGAAGGCCAAGATGACAAACCACCCCTTCCATTGCCCAGACCTCCTCAGGACTACATGAAATTGCCAAAACGAACTTGGGAGAAAGACTTCGCCAAGTTCAAACAATGCCTGAGAAGCTGGGCCCGATTCCTGGAAGAGAACGACACCATGAGGCCCGAGCCAAGAGACCAGATCGAACCGTGAGCCTTCGAGCAGCTTCTTTAACAATTCAAGATCGCAGTGGAGTCTTACAGAGAGGCTGTCGCTGTTCTAATTAGTACGAGGGGACATGACTGCACAAGCCAAAAAATGGAGCTATCTCATGTGTAGCCTGTCAAAACCACGGTCTAGGATCACAAAATCCAGATGTGTGCTCTCTGTTGCAGACTAACAACCCAGAGTCCAGAACTCATTGCCTAAGGCCCAGACCATCGGACTTCATTGACCAGCGCGGGAAGCTGCCGGGGACTCGGGACTCTGAACTCGGAGCCCTCAGTTCAGGGTGCTGTTTAGTGTGACTTTGGGTTGGAAATTACCCTTTTACCCTTGAACCCTAAACCCACTGGCAACTCTAAATTGTACACATATGTATATATTTATAGAACCTATGTAGACATGTACATATGTATATCTGTATATATTTTATATGTATATATGTATGTGCGTTTATATGTTTATATGTATAAATGTATAAATGTACATATGTATATAAAACATGTATCTGAGTGTGTGTGGCCATATATGTATAGATCTCTATAAATTTATTGTAAAATTCATAATAGTTATTATTCAATTTGTTTTGCGGATCTTAACAGCCTTTTAAGATCCGTAAAACAAGTTGAATAATAATAATTAAGCATAGGTTTAAATTTATACATATATGGCCACACACTGCTAAGTGTTCTGCTCCTACTACTACTACTACTACTACGAGCACTAGACCCTAAATGCCCCCAGCCTAAACCCTGAACCCTTAATCCCTTACACCCTGATACACCCACTGACCCTAAACCCTAAAGTCTTTTTTGAAACAGTTTGGCACTCACGACCCCCCACCCCCTGGTATGAAGCACATTCACTGACTATATATGAATTTGCTTCGGAAAACACAGATCGCAACCAGTTGCGATCTGTGTTTTGCAGGCAAAATGCACACAGATCAAAGAGCATGGCTTGCCAAGACATTGTCTATTCGCAGTGGCT